AGGCAGGGCTTCGCATTTAGCATGGCGCACAACTCCGCACGCACACGCGCACACCCACAAAGTGGAGAGGCCGTTTGAAGCGAGGTACATGCGCACGCGCACCAATATCAGTCACGCACGTACCGCATGCAGTGACGGAAACTGATTATGGGTAAAAAAAAAATTCCGTAATAATTCACTGCCTGATAAAGACCTCTGCCCACAACGTGCCAGTCGCTGGGGTTTGTTTGACTGAATGCATTCCCCGGCATGCAAGAAGTACGTTGGGAGAGAAGAGAGACAATAAACAACGGAGCGGGAGACCAAGTGCGGGCGAGGGATGCGGAGGAGATGGCGGCGGCGGCGGCGGCGGCAGCAGCAGCGAGACAACATCACGGACGTTAGGAGCTCACGGTAAAGTTTGGAGGTGGGACAGGAGAGCAGCCGAGCTAAAGGAAGAAAGGGAAGAAATCTGGGAGGCCTTTGCCCAGCAATGGGAAAATTCAGGCTGATGATAACAACAATGACTCTCTGACGGCGAGTGTGGGTTGGTGAAGGGGGCCCAGGACGGCTTCAGATCTCACTCGCCACTGATGTTAGCCGCACTCGGGAATTCACTTGGGTCTACCGGGGTCATAGTAGCGAGCTAACCACTGCGCCACCACTCCTGCTCAGGGCTTCACACAATGAGTAGCACATATAACGTCAAGCATCACAGATCGAAAGTGCAATAAATAACAATTAAAGAAAACCCCATCCATCTCAATGTGAGCATGAATCAAATGTCCCGACGGAAGCACTGGAATTAAATGAACCCCACAAATAATTTTACACACTCACTCTAGAGGCTCAATATATTTTTTTACAAATGGAATCTTCACACTATCATGCCCTGAGAAATGAACTTCTGCACCGACATTAGTCACTGGATGAGACGATATTTCCCGACGTAGTTTATCTCCCGATCTTCGCCAATACATTCTCCACAATAGAAATATTTATTTTGGTTCATGAGCCTCCTCCTTATCACCGTGTCCCCAATATGCGTGCTAAATTATTCATGTGAAAACCTCTTCGATGGAACGAATGACACACGAGTCAAAAAATCAAATAAAAAGAGCCTTCTTGCATAAACAAGCGTGGCGTGGCGCTAATTCCATTTGAGGCGGTGAGCCAGTGGTGGAAATTACACAATCCTATCTATATCTGGGAAAAGTCTTTCCCTATGGAAAGAGTCACACCCTTCCCCTTCACCCCCACCCCCTGCCACAGGAACATGGAATTTCCACCACTGGCTCAGGGCTGTAAATGGGAGGAATTGCACCATCCCAATGTTCATTTGAGCAGAAAACCACTGAGTTTTTGGGAGCAGTCCATAAACAGCACAACCGCCGTTGGATATCCACAAAATTGCAGCACAGTTGTATCAACTCTCTCAGGATAATGGGTGGATGTGATCCTAGATTATTGTGATACAGCAAATCCTCTCCATCCGCGAGGGATACATTCTGAGAATGCTCGCGAATGCAGAGACCTTGTTCCAATGGGGAAAAAAGGAGTTACGTTCGTGGCACGAGTTAACATGGGGGGGGGGGGGGTAATGGTAAATGTTGAATAACAGTGACTACAATGAATTGACGATACATGATAAATAATGTTTTTTATTACCTTTGATGATTAATGATGATGGAGATGGTGGCGACGGTGAGGAATTCAGGAGGATGACTCCTCGGGAGATCGCAGGTGTTCCGACAACAACGACGCATCGCTGTTATCATTTTAGCGCTCTGGGGAGCACTATCCACAAACCTTTCCCCGATTGTTATTCTTTGGGTCTTTCGGTAAAGTCACGTAGATAGGTTCAAAGAAAATAACAAATAACAAAAAGGAAAATACCAAAAAACAACGACGTTTCGATCGCAACACAAGCGGTCGTCATCAGCATGACCATCCTGATGACGACCGCTTGTGTTGCGATCTAAACGTGTTTTTTCGTTATTTTTCTTTGAACCTATCTACGTGACATCACCGAAAGAACCAAAGAATATGAATTCCTGCAGTCACGAAAGCTTTAAGTCAAGATTTCCCCGAACGCATTCGCGTTCTTTTTAATGGACCTCACAGTCGACTCGTTCATACCAAAAATGTCGACCTACAGCACACGCACTCTCACCGGTATCAAGCCCAACACTTTAATTTTTTACCTTTTACACTCAAACTCATCACGTTCTGCTGCCTTTTTCCAGCGGACGCACTTGGCTCCCTCGTCGGGACGCTTGGCAACCGTGATTAAGGGGCAATTAACGAGCAGGTAGCGCGCCAAGTAAAAATGCACAACGGCAAGTTCCGAGCGGTGTTTACTGCCAGAAATTCAGGCCGAGGGGGCGTGCCTAATCTTCGCAGACAGTTTCAAATGTAACATTCTGCTCGTTCACCTCCCCCGGTTGTCGGTGGTCCGGCACTACGCACGCTCGCGAATACTGGAGTCCGGCGGGTCGCGAACATGGAATTAGCGTGCATTTAGTAACTCGCGAAACTCGGGAATCCGGAACTCGCGCTTAGCGAGGGTTTACAGTAACACTTTTACAGCGAGTCACTCTAATGATGGCTGTTTTACCCACAGACGTCCGATGGGTTTTACAGCTGTACCGCGTGCTGTTCGGCACAATGCCCCGACCTTTCGCTCAACGTACCGGGAGCTTCTTCAGGCAACCAATTTGAGCAGTTCACCTACTTCCCCTTGACAACAGCGATTCCATTCAGTTACGACTGAAGAAGCTCCCAGCACGTGCGGTGAAACGGCGGGCATCACACCAAGCATGCGACGCAACTCAAAGACACGTACAGCACGATCGCGTAACGCAATGCAGCAACGCCCGATTATCACATTTTTACATTTAACGTAACTCAAATGAAGCAAAGGAGAGAATTTATATATATATTTTTTTTCACACCCATTATTTACCGGAAAGCCTCGCTGTGTGTTTCAAGACGGCTTTCACAGGAAGGTTCAGCGATTGCGACACTTGCCCAATAAATACCACGTGAAAGAGTGTTAAGACATGTCGGAGGAGGAAACCGGAGTTCTTCTTTTGTTTCTTAGCTCGGTTTGCGTCCACTCAGCAGTTGGCGACGGGGGCTCAATGCAAAGTCGTCCATTCTCTCTTCTGCACTCAAACGGCCTCCTCGCTTGGCAAAAAAAAGTCCGGCCTTTTCTCTTTGCGATTCGTACTTTACGAACGTCTGACCATCGTGTTTCTCCACCTTCCTACGTTCCCCGTTTAACATGCATACCTCTTAGGGTTGCGTGTCGGATTAAAACAAATTTAGATATTTTTTGAGGGGGGGGGGGGGAGTTTAGGAAAAAAAATCCGCACATTTATTTAGAAAATTTGGATTGTTTACAGGGTGTAGTAATGCTACGTAGTTACCGTACATATAAGGAGCGCCAAATATGACAGTGGAGAATTCTCAAGATGATACCTCTACTTTTCCCGGACCTTCCCTGAAGTCAGCTCAGTATTAAATGCGTACCCCCTGCTGCAGTGTGTAAACACCCACATGACCAAGTATTCAGCATCGTGGAGGAAACGTCGAATTCCCCCTTGAAAACCATTCACACTTTGGGTAGAACACTCAAAAAAAGCTTTGCACAGATGGATTCAATGATACCTTGTTATGCTGCCATCTTCAGGCCAGTCTCCCATCGAAGTATTATGAACCAGGCTCAAAACCGGGCTTGGCTTGCGCCAGTGTAAATGTGGGCACTGTATTGTTATTCTCAAAGCTATGCGACCACGCCTTGTCTATGTGTGCAATGGACCATTATTGTTATTCTCCGCTAGTCTCAAAACCACTGCTTGTCAATGCAATGTGTCACATCGAAAGACTACGCAGCGACACAGATTCGCGGCGTAAGCCTCAATGTAGCCGTTGTGAATCTGTTTGGAAGGTCCATTACAGGGCAATGCCGTAGTTCCTCCAACCCTGTTGTTGTTGTTACCTGCAGCAACTGACTCCGAGTAAGCCCCCCCCCCCACCTTACAGCCTCAATCGCTGCGGCAACTGCCTCCTATGCGTTACTAATCTCATAACTCCGACGAGGGCGATGAAATTAGGCGGCAAATAAGAGCGCCCGTGGCGAAGCGAGCGAAAGGTCAGGAAATTAGCGGGCAAAACGCACACCGGGGTCTCCCTCTCCACTGCGTCAGCGTAATTATTTATTAGGATCACTGCCCACCCTGACGGTTGACCTTTGCATTGATTAAAGCCCTGACCTTTGGAGGAGGGTGAAGGTTGCTCTCGTTTTTTGACCCGATAAAGATTTTAACAGGAATCGACCCAGGCAAGTGTGCCCAACAAATGTTGTCTTTTACAACGTAATGCTCGTTCCCAAATGACCAGACGCTCAGTGGCGTGTACACGTGGTAGAGGTGGCGAAGGTGAGGCCCTGCAATCGCTCGTTTACACCACTGCCGGCAGAAGGGCCTCCCACCAGAGGTGAGCTATAGAGAGCCCCTCCGATTGTTTTTGTGGCCTTCTCGTCCACACTTGGCCAGGCATCTTGGAAGAGGTGGGAGTACCCACACTTTACCCCACCACACGCGACCTGCCGACTGATTGGCTGTGGGGTACACATTTGTACTGCAGGATTGGATTGGACAGAGGCGGGGAGGACCACAGAGACTTGCCCACTGTTTCGGCAGCGACGTACGGATTTTGCAAGTCCACTCACGGGACTTCAATTCTAAAATTAGTTTTAGCAAAAAGCGCTCTCGTGAGCAAAGAATCTTGTCGCCGGTCGCGACAAGATTCGTAAAGAGTACTCCTCGCCAATTCCTTAAGTCGCTAATACCACGTACTGTAGCAATGTGGCCCCCATCGCCGGTCTGTCAAACACACGGCGGCGGCTTCCTTCGCGATGTCCCCCCTTGCGCTACGAGGATGGCGCCAGCGGCAAAATGCACGCGAGCCCTTCGATTATTGAATCCGAACCGAGCTGTTCATTGCCGGACGGTCACCTGGTAGATATCGGAGATGCTGCTGCCAGAGTCGCTGCCGATGCTGCACCCGGACTGGCTCGCCGACACGCGCGCCATGTGCTGGTGGTGCAAGCTCTCGCTCAGCTGCATCTTCTGCAGGTCGGCGGGAAGCTACGGTGGGCAGAGGGCGCGGGAAGGAAGGGAGAAGAACAAGAGGGTTACGTCGCAGACGCGAGCTCGCGCGCCACGGTGGCGCGACGTTAAATACCTCGCCTGGTATGCAGGAGGTCGTTGGTTCGATCCCGACCCTGACGACGCCTGTTCTCTCTCTCCTTCCCTGTGGTTGTGGATTTTTCTCCGGGTCCTCCGGTTTTTCCCTCCACATTTATCACACGTTCAGAGTATTTGGCTGCTATAAATGCCCACTTTATTAGCCACTTCGTTGAGCTATCATTTGTGGCCAGGCCGCTTCTGAAAAAAGAGCTATATAGCTCAGTGGGCCTTACCTGGTAAAATAAAAAATAGTTTTAGTTCTAGGTGCGGGGTTGTGCCGCGTGCCATTCGGAAACAACGTCCGATGCTTTCGCTCAACGCGCAGGCAGCTTTGTCAATTCCTTCCCGGTCACGACGCACAGCTCCTCAAGGGAGCTCCCCATCCCGTGGGGCGAAACGTCGGACAACAAACCAAACGACGACGCGCCAAACAACCTGAAATCGCACCGGAGAGCTAACCAAATCGGCATTGTGCGTGCGTGTGTGTCCCACAACATACTTGAGCAGTGGATAAACTACCAATACCACGACTGTGGCAGTTTGAAAGTATTACTCCGGCTTAAACGCAGAACGCAATGGCGTGGCCGGGCACAGTGCACGTGTTTCAAAGTGACGCATCACACGACAGCTGTGTTCTGTACGAGCAAGGGCAGCAGATGCAACTGTCTGTAACGCACGAGACCTCGGACCACAACTTGCAAGCACAGCGAAACACAACATCCGCAAGCTACACATACAGTAACAAAGGCAAAGATACACCGAATAGCCTTTAACGCTGTTAGCGAGCACCTATAATGGAAAGCACGGCGCACGAAGGAGACGGTGTGACCAGAACCACGCCCCACCACCTTTGTCTCTACAGCAATAATGCTTACACAATACAGCAGACGTGCACACAGATGACGCAGACACACACACATGCACGGACTCACTCATGCTTCCAAAAAGCTATTCACACCCATACATAGTCAATGGTATGTTCATAGATGTTACAAATTGGCAGGGCAAGTTTTGTTAGCGAGCACCTATTAAGGCTGGATCAGCAACACCAAGGGGGTTGATTGGACCCTCCCTGCCACACACAACCAGCAGTCGTTGTCTTCCCCGTCCTGATGTTGACCACAGAACCATACCAGGTAGGCATTTATGGCTCAATAGCAACTGTGGGATGGCCAAGGCCTAATTCTGGATTAGGCCAGGCCTAAATCTGGAACGGGCCTGTCCATTTGGAGCATAATGCACTAAGTACTACTGCATTGCTTGCTTGCGACAACCATAAATACTATTTCGTTTAACACTGAGTGTTATTCAAATTGAGCTATTTTATGGTTAACGGTCACACATGCTGAAGTGGCTTCTAAAATGTGTACATTCAAATCCCACTCTTGTGTCATCATTGAAGGATGCATTAGCATTTCCTTTGAAATGCTTCTTTGTAGAATGCTTTTTCTCGTTAAGTGGTACGACATCAAAACATACTGATGTGTAAGATTATACCTACAGGTGCTCTTATCGTAACACAAATAAAAATAAAACTACCTTCAATTTTAACAAAATATATAACATCAAACAACGTTCTGGAGAGAATGTCTAGCCAACAGGCCCAATTACCAAATTCCATAGATGTGAATAACCTGGAATCAAACCCAGGTTGGCTGGGATTGCTAAACACACACAGCATGAACCACTACATTGCCACTCCCCACCAGACACACTAAAACACCAGTGCGACCATTATAGACTGGTGGATCGAGTTATTTTAGCAAGCACAGATTTGTCGGTTACAATCGATGCTTATGTCCATGTGATAATCAATTGCTTTAAATGAATATAATTTCCGAATAATTTGTGCTGCCTATTTATTATAGACTTACAGTACATTAACGCCCTGTGTGTACCGTTACAAATGTCCGTCAATCCACTGCTGTATGAAGGTCTCACCAATGCCATGTCGCTCGTGGGGGTTGTTTGACCTTACTTCACCACTACAGTCAGTGCGTGTTAAAATAAGTAGGGATGGGGGGGGGCTGTACTGATATTGGCTGTTGCTGGGAACAAAACCCCCAGAGTACAACGCACTAAACCACGACGCCACCGCTTCCCACCACTCACGACCACACAAGCCCAAGCAAAAGCAAGCTCACGAAGGCCAAACAACCTCGGGTGGATGAAGTCAGAGATCCTTTTTTTTTCCTGCAAATCAAACGGGGCACACACAATGCGCTTTTGTGTTCAGCCACAACCCCACCGGGTTAAGACTCCACCTGATCGCAAACGCGGCCTGCGAGTATGGTGATGCAATTATCCACCCGTCTGCGCCGCGAGAGTCAATGCGAGTGAAATAAAGCGGGCACAGCGCAACACAGGGTGATGTGTGTTTCAGTTGCTGAATCTTTGGCCCAATTGGGAACTTGGTCAGATACAACGTTCCTCTTCAATTGTCCTTTTTGTTGGCTGATCATTGCATGTGTGCGTCGTTTACTCGTGTACTTGGTTATGAATTCAGGAGTATGAAGCACGTGCAGCGAATCCTCTCTACTTACGAACATTCGACTTACGAACTTTCAGGGATACGAACAAACCTGTTCGTATGTCCAGTTGCCTGTTCGGACCGAGAGTCGTAAGTTCAACTGCCAGCAAATAGATGGCGGTGGTTGTTCGTGTCATTACCCCAGAATTCCTAGAATTTCTGCCTGGGCCGCCGTCATTGTCGTTTTTATGTTGTTGTTATGTTGTCGCTGTGCAGTTCACTACGACGTTCTCTCTGCTTTTCACGAACATTATCAACCTCCATCATGTCTCAGAAGCGTACGAGTGGTGAAAGTGTTGAGGGTGGTAGCAAGAATAGGTTCACTATCACGTGGAGACTAAAGCATCTACTTCTACAGGAGATTATACAAATTTGAAAGCCATTCCCTGTGTTTAGTGTACATGCCGTACAAACATGTTTGAAATCGACCGGAGGAAATTTAGACGAACGAAAAGAGGAGTCCCTGTACATAACGTTACCTATATTTAAGCGAAGAGTAAAACAAATACAGATTGTGTACTCATGAGTTTGATTTGGCAGATGTCAATTAGTTGACAGTGGCTCACAATAACGATGTCCGATCAATGAGCCAGCACAACTAAGTTCCTGGCTTAAAATCCTTGAAGCCAACAGTGCCTTAACCAGGTTCTAAAGCAAATGTCATTCGTAATAACATACATCCCTGTCTCCCCTAGTGACAATGTTAACACACTGCACCAGGTACTAATTTGAGGCTTCGGGGAGGCCAATGACTCGTTCAGATAATCGTCACTGGTGTTGGCCATGAGCGGGAATCGAACTCGGATGGACCGGGTTTCGTAGCGCAGCGTAGCGCTAACCGCGACACTACCGCTCCCCAAAAAGTACCAGAGACAAAGATCCCCCGTGTAGCCTCAACAGACTGTTGGGGCAAGTGCTGTTAGCGAGCACCCTTGAAGGCCGGCACGGTACACGAGGGGGCGAGTGGTCAGCGCCACGCCCGGCCGTCTTTGTCTCCCCACAAGTGCCACAGACATTATAACACATCATTTGTTCAGTTCTGACTTCCGGGAAAAAAAGTTTAAATAAAATATTATCTGTGAATGGAAATTATATGATTATTAAAATAAAAAATGCAAGATTGATGATTTTTCCATTCTAAATTTTTAAATGTCAATATAGTAAAAATATTTAGCAACACAGCATCCTAACCGCTACACTTCCACTCCCCACAAGTACCACAGGTGTACTTGCACGCATTATACCATGTACTTTGTTTAGTTCTCAATTCAGGGGAAGGAGTAAAAATATAATTAAACATTACCTGTTAATGGAAATTATATTATTAAAATAACAAAATGCACGATTGATGATTCCATACTCAGTTTTTAAATGTCCATCCAGTAAAACAAAAGTTAAAGACCATTGTCAATCCACTGCTGGATCGAGGACTCTCCATGCTCTGTCAGTCGTGTGGGTTGTTTGACCATACTTCATCAGGTTGAGCGGTATGGGTTGGTAAGGGGTTCTCAACTCAGCTCAGTCACCAACCACGGCATCATACATATTTTGTATTTTTTTCATGCAATTTGGGCCAGCCCAAATTTAAGAACTAAACATAACACACTGGGTGGTCATCATGGAATGAATTACTCTTTGCAGAGCGTGAAGGAGGCACTGTGTAGTGTTGGGTAAGAGAGGCCCTATTGATGGGACCTCAGACCAAAATCTGTGGCATCATTTTACAGGGGCCATTCCTTCACTTGGTATGATCCTGAGTTGTATGGAGGACTTCCAAAAGTTAATTCCTCCACCTAAACATAACTCCAACACTACTACTGGGATACAGTTGGTGATACAATTTTAACACGAATATATTCCAGCCATTCTCAATCCATCAATGGAAGCATCCCCACGTCACATTGGACAATGGTGGCTTATTGACCATACTTCACCACGCTGGTCAGTGTAGGTTGGTGAAGGGACAGTTGGGGTCCAGTTCTTATATCACTCGCCACTTTTTTTTCTAACGTATTTAAATTATCTGTACCATAGCAGACAAAACACAAAGCAATACAATTGGGATTTACATAACATCTGAATGCCACCGCGTTTCGAGGTTGTACGGAACATTGGGCGAAAATAGCCAGCAAAAGCATTCTTTAAAAAAAACTGCTGATAATTCACAATAACAGCATGGTTTTGTTGCAGGCCAGGCTTAAAGCAGCCAAGCGTCACACACTTAATTCTGAAGAAATATATTACTATTATTTTTAAATCCTCAGGCGGTGTGTCGTGTCTTGTCTCAGTTGTGGCACGCTGACGATAATATTTTTTTACAATGAGCCGCTCTCTTGCATAAACGCCACCAACTGGTCGGGTTGGAGGT